TAAGCCTCTTTTTGGCTTCAATTAAAGAATAAGGGTAAAATTACCTAAGATTAGGTCGAAACTAATTGCAATAAATCGCTTCATATTCAAGGTAGATTGAAATTTCAATACTTTTTGAATGCAAATGTTATAATTAACAACAACCCTAATTAATTTGATCAGTTTAATATTCCTTGATTTCATTCATGATAAAGACCTAGTAATAAAATTAGAATAAAAATAATTGATGTAATTGTTCATATCCTTAAATTAGAAAATTTAATAATTAAGATAATAGGAAGAATTAAAGCAATTTCTACATCAAAAATAAGAAAAATAATTGTAATTAAAAAAAATCGAAGTGAAAAAGGTAATCGAGAAGATGATTTTTTAGAAAGAGCCGCCATCTTACGCCAAAGTTGCCAAAAGAAGACACCGGGACGATCTCTGTTATGCAGTTTACGATGCCGGTAATCCGACAGGCAAAATTCCAATAGACCAACAGAGCAAGGTAGAAGATCTGGTGAACAATAAGATAGTGGACCACGCAATCGCTTCAAAGGGTCAACAACCAATAGAGAGCGTGAGCTGCGAGTTCAGAATGGCCGTGATGTTGATGAGGTTGGCATCTCACCAATGTGTGAGCACCCTAAAGAACTTGGTGGTTGTATCCCTCCTTCCTGGGACGGCGCTAAGCTGGGACTGGCAAAGAAGAGCGAGCTTCCGGTGCTCTTAAAGTCCACTGTCTACATAAAAGGATGGGGCAGTAAACTGGCTAATGAACGTATACTGGAAATTCTTGGTGTCAAAATGCTGAGCTGGCCGTGGAAAAATGGTACGTCTTTTACAGGAAAGAAGAACCTGAGGGAACTTTATTTGTAATAGGTATCGACCAGAAATCTATGGCTAGTCTTGCCAAGAATAAAGGTATGGCTTACTTCGCCTCTAAAGCTGTCATATTCAAAATTGGGAAGATGCCGATTGGAAGGGCTGTTCGAAAATGACACTAAAATACCTAAGACAACAGCATCAGTAGCAACTACTGATAACGTTAAGGAGTCAAATCCTAAAAGAGAGGAAGATACCACTAACTCGCCAAAAGAAGGTGCTGCTGCCCTTTCCAAAATTGGGGAGGTGCCGATAAGGACACTAAAACACCTAAGACGGTACCCAAAGCATCATTAGCAAGTACTGGTAATTTTGAGGAGTCAAATCCTAAAAGCGAGAAGGAAATCACTCACTGGCCAGAAGACAGAACAGCAGTGCTGTCTATAATTGGGAAAGTGTCGATTAAAAAGACTGCTCTTCCTGTGCCTGATAAGGACACCGCAGTGCCATCAATGGTACCCACTGCATCAATAGCCACTTCAGGTTACCAGGAGGAGTCAAATCCAACGATCGGGGATGTGATCACTAGCTCGCTGGAAGACAGTTTAAATGGATGACAATGATTGAGGTTATCCAAATAAACCTCCATCGGAGCGAGACAGCTACCAATGCTCTGATGGCTAAAATTAACATAGGTAAGATACATATAGCTTCAATCCAGGAACCTTGGACGATTCGCAACAAGGATTAAATCACGTAAATTTCCAACTTTTCTACGCTGATACAGGGTCTCGACCGAGAACATGTATCTTATGTCACAAGAATTTATGTTTTCTCCTCTCAACAGGATTATCAACATCGGATGCAACGGTACTGAAGCAAGGTCGTGGCAACATATACCTTGCATCTGTTTACCTGCCTTTCGATTCTCCGACACTACCACCAACGTCGGAGCTGATGAAACTGGTCGAAGAGGCACAAAGAAAAAATAAGAAAATTGTAATAGGTTGTGATGCCAATTCCCACCATGTAGCTTGGGGTAGTACAAACACCAATCTCAGGGGACAAGCCCTTATGGATTTCCTTAATACTAAAAACTTGATCACATTGAACTTAGGTAATAAAGCTACCTTCGTCAATAAAATCAGAGAAGAAGTATTAGATATAACTATATGTTCAGAAGAGCTTATAAACGAAATTCAGGATTGGAGAGTTTCGGACGAGCACTCCTTTTCTGACCATCGGTACATAAGATTCAAAATACTACGGCCGCCACCAAAGCCGATAAAGTTTCGGAATAAGTCTAAAACTAATTGGACAATGTTCGGTTCCTTACTAAAGAACCGTTTATGTCAGAACACTTTTCAATGTCGAAATAAAGAGGACATAGACGCCAAAGTAGAAATGCTCACAAGTGCCTTGGTTGAATCGTTCGAGGACAGCTGCCCTCTGCGAGAGCGGAGATCTGCCCAGGAGAAACCCTGGGTAACCGGGGAGATCCGGAACCTTGGTAAGACTCTTCACAAACTATTTAACCGGGCACGGCGTAAAAAGACCGCAGCATACTGGGATGAGTATCGTAGTAAACTTGGTGAATATAAGAAAATTGTTCTTAAAGCCAAACGAGACTCCTGGAAACTTTTCTGTGAACAGGTAGACAGCGTAAATGACGTATCGAAGATAAAAAAATTCCTATTCAAAACTCATGCCCAACCAGAATCTATGGTCGATGATACGGGTAGGAGGATGGAGGATATGTAGGAGACAATGAAACTCCTAATGGACTCCCATTTTCCACCCGGTATATCGAATAACGTAGATGAACCGATATTGGAGGAAGGGTAGGGTAACACGGAAATTGTAATTACATCTGATATGGTTAAAGGGGCAATCAAGAGCTTCGCTCCCTATAAAGCTGCAGGGCCGGATTGCATTTTCCCGGCACTCTTACAGATGGAGGCGGGACTGGTTTCCGTACATCTGTCTCAGATATTCACTGCATGCTTGAAATTCACATATACTCCCATTAAATGGCAGGATGCAAGGGTAATATTTATACCTAAACCAGGGAAACCTAGCTATTCGACACCTAAATCTTATCGACCGATAAGTCTTACGTCCTTCCTACTTAAAACTTTGGAACGGATAGTTATTTGTATGGCGAAAAGCAGTATACCCGACAAAGATCTAAAATTTAAGCAGCATTCTTATGTAAAGGGACGATCGGTGGAAACCGCTTTAAACGAAGTTGTCCACTACATAGGTGCATCCGTTGATAGCAAACTGTATACACTGGCGGTATGCATTGACATCGAAGGCGCCTTCAATTACGTGCACACTGATACTCTTATCCAATCCCTAGACCAGTTTTATGTTGATCGGGTGCTCCGTAACTGGATCAACCACATGCTAAGGAACAGATGGATAAGCTGCGAGATGTACGATATAACTATCAGGAAAAAGGTATTTCGCGGTATACCACAGGGTGGCATTTTGTCACCTTTACTCTGGGTTACCACGATACCACCGTTTACCTAATCATAACACAAGCTTCCAGGCAGAAGTACGAGCAATAACGGAATGTGTAAATTGGATTAGAATAAATATGGCGCCCACAGGGCGCCATATTTATGAGAGAATGATGAGAGAATGATGAGAGATGAGAGAGAATGATGAGAAAGGATGAGAGAATCCCATAAGGCCTCTTGGAATAATGAAACGGTGGGTAGAACCACAAAGATTCTATGGGGTGACCCTGATGAGAGCAAGACGAGAAATCTTCTCAAAATGAGCAAGTCTGAGGTTAGTATGATGGTTCGTATTCTGAGTGGACACACAGGATTACGAGCACACCTATACAAAATTGGACGTGCGGATTCAGACGAATGTAGAGCATATGGAGAGGACAGTGAAACTCTGGAGCACTTTCTTTGCCATTGTCAGGCATTCGTCGAAGTTAGATCCAAGTATCTTGGAAGTGATGTTATTCCGGAAATAACATTCTTAACCAACACTGATTGGAAGATTCTTAGGAATTATGTCCAGGAAACTGAGTTTCTGAACATGGAAAAATAATACATTCAGTGAACAATTTTTTTTTTCTTCTTTCTTGAATTGGAGCGCACAACAGGCCCGATAGTGGCCTAGGTGTATTTCTTCGGATTTGATGTAGTATACATCCTCCTATTAACCTAACCTACCACGATTAATAGCCTCTTAAGGACCCTAACTGAGAAAGGACTTAGACCTGTCTGCTATGCAGACGATGTCGTAATACTTTTAAAGGGAAAGGATCCAAATTACTTGTGTAGAAGAGCTGAGGCCTTGAGCTGGGCTCAACCGAGAGGCCTCAATGTTAACACGGCAAAAACGGAAATCTGTCTTTTCACAAGAAAGACAAAAATTTCTACGTATACTGAACCTTGCTTCCTGGACAAGAAGATACCAGTGACAGACAAAGTACTTAGGTGTAATCCTCGACTGGAAATTAAAATGGAGACACCACATAGAGGATAGGATCACAAGGCACATCGGTGCTGTGCGATATGTAGGAGAACTATAGGCATGAAATGGGGTCTTAGTCCTACTATGACCCTTTGTCTTGGTCAAGCGGAACATTAGAGCAAATACCATTAGGAATCCGTTGTTACACGGATGGCTCTAAATTGGGGGACAAAGTGGGGCTGGGTTTCTATATTGAAGACCCAGAAACGGTGGTACCGTTTACCAAATCATAACACAAGCTTCCAGGCAGAAGTACGAGCAATAACGGAATGCGTAAATTGGATTAGAATAAATATGGCGCCAACAGCGCTTAATATATTTACCGACAGCCAGAAGGCAATTAGGGAGACATCAGGCGATAGAACTAAATCTAATAGCGTTTTCGTTTCTGGTAAAAAGTGTTACATTTTTATTACCTTTTGCCCTTAAGTTACCTTTTTGTGTTCGTTTCTAAAAAAATGGCAGCCCTGAATTTGAGTATTGTGTTTTTTTTCTGAAAATGTTACACATAAAAAGTGAAAAACTTTAACATTATTCACCCTTTATCAAATCATAGGGTGAGAAATTACCCACATAAAGCAGCTGGTTTTTGTTTATGTTTTTCTTTGATTTTACAAGAAGAAGAAGACTTTATTTTTATTTCAAAGAAAACTAATATTTTTGTGTATTTAAAATTTTATTGTGTCAAAATGGAACGTTCCACAATAGTTTGCGCTATAAATCTATTTGAAGAAGTGCTGGAATCATCTTCGTCATCGGTTGATGAAGAGGATGAAATTTATGCTTTATTGGGGCAACGAAATTATATACCGCGTGTTAAATGCTTTGTGGATAATGTTATAAATTTATACTCAGAGAGCGATGTAAGATTTTTTTAATATAACATAATGATTTGTAATAATATTTTGTAGTTTAAAAAAAAACCTTCGTATTAGCCGTGAAAGTTCCATGTATTTTATTGAGAGATACTCCTCATTTTTTTCTAAAAGATCGTACCAAGGCGAAAGGTGCCAGTTACCTATTGAGACACAGATTCTGTCATTTTTGTGGTAAGTGTTTAGACATAACCTGAATATACTTATTTATGTATCCTAACTGTTTAGGTTTTGTGGTAACAAATCTACCTTTCGAGGAGTGGGCAATCTCTTTGGCATGTCACTATCAACTATCCACAATTCCTTTAACAATGTATTGGATTTTATAATAACAGATTTAGCACCCGAAGTTATAAAGTTTTCCCAAACAATAGAAGAAAAGGAAATTGTGTCGAAAGAATTCGAAAAGGTATTTGATAATCCATACTCGCTAAGTTGTAAAAGGTTTAATGTTTTTCTAGATTGCAGGTTTTCCAAATATATTGGAGTGTATAGACGGAAGTTATATTTCTATTAGAACTCCAAAATATAAAATTCGTTCGACATATGCCAATAGGCACGATGGAGTATCAATAACATTTCAGGGTATTTGTGATGCAAAGCTACGATTCCTGGATGTATTTACTGGTATTCCTAGCAAAATCCACGATTCGCGAATACTAAAGCTATCATTTATAGGAAAGGATTTACAGAGTCTGTGCTCCCCTAAATACCATTTGCTGGGAGATTCGGCTTATCCCATAAGAGAATTTTTAATGACTCCCTTTCGAGATTATGGGAATTTAAGTGAATCCGAAAAAAAGTACAATTTGAAGTTTTGTCGAACACGCGTAAAAATAGAAAACGCATTTGGTGTTTTAAAGGGTCGTTTCGCCAGTTAATGCGACTAGATTTCCATAATGTTGATACTATGGCCAAATTTATTATTGCATGCTGTGTGCTTCACAATATTTGCATTAATAAAGACGAGTTTTATGATGAAGAACTATCTAACAACGAATATGAATTTAATAACCATCCTTTCGATGAAGATACAAGAGATAATTTGCTTACCCAATTAGGCCAAATCAAAAGAAATGATATTAAAAATAATTTATTTAATTCAACAACTTAAATATTTATTTGTACTTCATTTTTGGAAATAGTAAGTTTTAATAAAAAAAAATACATAAAAAAGTATTAAATTAATTTATAATAAAAAGGGAAATATGAATAAAAGTTTTTATTTGTTATCTTTAAAGATAAAAATAGTAGTATCAAAATATTATAGTATATACTATAGACAAAAACAACAGCTACTAAAACCGTAAAAACCAGTCTTAATGGTTTCAATTCTAAATGACAATTGAAGGGCTTATTGTAAAATCATCGTAAGCCACCCGAATTCAGAAATTGATTTTTTTATAACTTTTCAGTACTTAAAACTCAGTTATTTAAAAATAATTTGTTTGTGGCGTATGATCTTGTTAGATTAAGCCATTCAATTGGATAAACAAAACCGTCAAAGGGGAGTTACTATACCTTTTGAATTCACTTATTTCGAAATTTCTAAAAAAAAATAATTTACTTCAGGAGGTCATAAAAAAACTGGAACTTTGTAACCTTCCTTAACGGATTTATTTAACAAATTTGCATTAAGTGTTGGAACAATTGAGGTTGGTATTTGTTGGTTGTCTGTGTTGTAAAAAAATTTTGCTGTTTATAGATACACCTTAAATTTTGTCTTGATATTTTATATCAAATTTTTTTCTTGTAAAATTGTTTGCAAAAGGCTTTGCGTTTTTTCTATAGCTTCCATCTTTTCTTTGTGTCGCTTTTCTCTCGCTTCCTCTCTTTTAGCTGTGATTTCCTCCAATATCTGATGTACTGACTTTTTTTTTGATCACTTCCTTTAGACACTTTATTTGTTTTTTCCTTTTTGAGGATTTGTTGGCTGCTCATTTGTACTTCTGGTTCAATAGAGTCATCAAGTTTACAAATTTTAGTCAATTCCGCTTCAAATTCTATAATTTTTCTTTTTGAGCCAGATGTACTATTGTTTTCCACCCCAGATTTTTTTCTCCTCAACACTGTTTTATATCTTTCCTCACATTGTTTAGCACTTTTATCAGGAATTTCTGTGGAAATTTTGGACCACATATCTTTTTTTGATTTGAATTTTTTAAGTGGTCCAATTTCCGGTAAATAATTCGCATATAAATCCAACAGCAGACGAGTATCTCCATCTAACCATACTAAAATTAGAAGCAAAATTATAAAGCTTTCATTATATTTATTTTTAAATAATTACTTTGCTCTTACATTGTAGAATACTCTTTAACGTAGTTGGAGATTCGTTTGTTTCACTTTCCATTCTTTATAGTTTGCTTAAATATTTTACAAAACCAAAAAATCTCGAATTAGAAATGTTTATTTATTTCTAAAACAGCTGTTAAGTACAGGGTTGCCTAATTGTGTTTGTTTCTGACTAAAAACATGTTACACATTTGGAGGGTAATGGTAACATTTTAATATTGTTGCCGCTTAACTGGACAACACTTTTTAATAGAAACGAAAACGCTATAAGACTGTATTGGATTGTAAGAAAGCTTTAACTGAATACTCTTCCAGAGGTAAGTTTCACATCATATGGGTACCAGCCCACTCGGGAGTAGTCGGTAACGAAAGGGCGAATGTAATAGCTTTAAAAGGTAGGGAGCTCGAGGCAGTTAACCTGACAAACGCGAAACCATTCGACGCAACAAAAGCTGAACTAAAAATATGGGTGAGAGAATCCCATAAGGCCTCTTGGAATAATGAAACAGTGGGTAGAACCACGAAGATCCAGGAAATAACATTCCTGACTAACACTGATTGGAAGATTCTTAGGAATTACGTTCAGGAAACTGAGTTTCTGAACACTGAAAAATAATTCTTTTAGTTTTTTTTCATGATAAGGAGCGCACAACGGGCCCGATAGTGGCCTAGGTGTATTTCTTCGGATTTGATATAGTATACATCCTACTATCGACCTACCTACCTACCTACCTAGATGGAGACTCAAAAGGCGTTTTTTTTTTTTTTTATTTTTTTTTTTTTTTTTTTATTTAAAACGGTATAAATTGACATATACAATTTTTCTTAAAATACTGCGACTAGTCAAAATAGACTAACTAGCAGTTTGAGGCTAATTATTTAAACATATAATTTAGTATTAACAGCAATTCAAATATTTTATAAAACATTATGCTGGTTGAAACGCCTGATGAGGTCATGAGGTTGGCATCTGTTTAGTCGTCTTACTACATTTGTGGTTCTTAATAAGGACGCTATTTCTTCATTTGGGTGGAGTATAAGTTTACGCCTATGTTGTTCTGCTTTCATAATAATTTCCTCTGTTACTGTGTTCATGTTGAGATCTCTATGGATATCAGAGTTTCTAACGTACCATGGGGCATTCAGGATGGTCCTTAGGATTTTGTTTTGAAATCTTTGTATAATTTTAATAACATCGTTTTTAGCGCATCCCCATATCTGGATGCCATAGCTCCATACTGGCTTTAGAATTTGTTTATAGACAATTAACTTATTATGGACTGAAAGGTTAGATTTTCTCCCAATTAGCCAATCCATTTTTCTAAACTTTAACTCTAGCTCATCCTTTTTCTTCTTAACATGCGCTTTCCAACGAAGCTTTGCGTCTAGGGTCATTCCCAAGTATTTAGCGGTGTTCTCGTGTGGAATCTCAATTTCATCGATAAAGACTGGTTTGTGGTTGACGTTTTTATTTGTAAAATTTACATGAATCGATTTTGAGCTATTTAGTTTGATACACCATTTTTTAGTCCACCTATCTATTCGATTTAGTGCTAGTTGTAGTTTATGTGTTGCGACTTCAACATCTTTTCCAGTTGACATGATTACAGTGTCATCTGCAAATGTGCCGACAATACAATCTGAATCTACTGGTAAATCGTAGGTATACAGTAAGTATAATATTGGTCCCAGGATACTTCCCTGCGGGACACCAGAGCTTATCGGATAAAGATTTGAGAATTCATCATTGATTTTAACACGGAAATATCTTTCTTTTAGGTAAGATTCTAGCATTTCGCAGTATTGAATTGGTAAGAGCATGTTTAGTTTATGTAGCAAGCCTTTATGCCATACACCATCGAAAGCTTTTGAAATATCCAAGAATACGGATGAACATATTTCTTTGTTTTCTAGGGCATTTTCAATTGTATGTGTTATCCTATGTATTTGTTCGATTGTAGAGTGTTTTTCACGAAATCCAAATTGATGATTTGGTATAATATTTCTATTTGTAATTATACTTTTCAGCCTTTTACAGAATAGTTTTTCAAACAGTTTTCCTATCACCGGTAATAGTGATATTGGCCTATATGAGCTGGCATCTGTGAGTGGTTTTCCTGGTTTTGGAATCATTATTATCTCAGCCACTTTCCAAAGACTTGGCATATATTTTAGATTTATTATAGCATTGAAGATTTTGGTTAATATTGCAAGTGCTTTATGAGGCAAATGTTTTAAAAGCTCAGCTGCTATTAGATCATATCCAGGGCTTTTTTTGCATTTTAGTAACCGGATTTCTTTTTTCACTTCGGAATTTGTTAGTAGAGGTATTTCTTCATTCACTCAAAAGGCGTGAGACATTTTTTGTTAGTGTTGACATATTTATGATTCTTAAATGTTGTTTTTATTATTTTGTTTAATAATGTATATGTTAATTTTTTAAATATTTGTTTACTAAATGTTGTGTTAAATATGTTTAACAAATATACTTTAATAATTTATACAAATTTGGTGAAATAACGACCAATTGATTATTGAAATATTATTTATTTAATTATTTATATTCTTTATAAAAATAACTAAAATTTAACAAGCAAATATTCAAAATATTTATTATTTTTGGATTAAATGTAATGTAAATAAAATTCAAAATATTGCAAGTGGCAACACTGATTCATGCATTCAAGTGATCGCACACGATCCTCACTCTTTGAGTGCAGAATAAAAATAAATAAACTGCCAAACGAACGCTTAACAAAACAGATACCAAAAAACCCCTCAAATTACGATTCGTGCGTCTTTTGCTACTTCCCTTTCGTCTTTACCCCCTTTGCCTACAAACTCATGTCGCACGTTGGTGCCCCCTCAGCTAAAAGTGGTCTAAGACTTGTTTCAGACTCACACATGTTAAGTGTTGCCACTTCCAATAATTTAATTTTTTTTATATTTTATATTAAACGAAGGTAATTGATTTTTTTAAATGTTAGCTTATTAAAATTAAATTATTTCTTTAATAAAAAATAAATTACTACAAAAAGATATCAAATTTACAGCTAATGATAAAAATATTATGTTATTATTATTATTATTATTATTATTATTATTATTATTATTATTATTATTATTATTATTATTATTATTATTATTATTATTATTATTATTATTATTATTATTATTATTATTATTGTTATTGTTATTGTTATTATTATTATTATTATTATTTTTAAATTGTCTTTATAGAATGTATTTACAATGTTTTGAGGATTTACTTAAAAAGTATTACAGCAATTAAAACTAAATAATTGTATCCCCCATTAAGTGTTATAAGAAATTCTAAAAACAACCACTAATTGCAAATTTTTTCATAAAAAAGAGTCTTAGGAATTGGTTAACAAATTTCTTATTATTCCGTAATTGGACGTTCTGTATTTTTCATTAAATGACAGAGTCAGATTCCTTACAAATTCGTTTAACATTATGTGATTATAATTACTATGCAGTAAGTCAGTAGAATATCTGGGGTGTAAATTATGAATTTATTTTAAGATTCTTGTTTTGAATAATCTGTAATTTTCTTGTATAAGTT